GTTTGAACTTTGCAAATGAACATATAGACAAGCCTGATGCATTTTGGAAACAAGTTCTGTGGACCGATGAGGTTAAAATTGAACTTTTTGGCCGGAATGAGTAAAGGTACGTTTGGAGAAGAAGGGGCACAGAATTTAATGAAAAGAACCTCTGTCCAACTGTTAAGCATGGGGTTGGATCAATCATGCTTTGGGGTTGTGTTGCAGCCAGTGGCACAGGGAACATCTCACGAGTAGAAGGAAATATGGATTCAATAAAATTTCAGCAAATTTTGGATGGTAACTTGATGCCATCTGTGAAAAAGCTGAGGTTAAAGAGAGGATGGCTTCTACAAATGGATAATGATACTAAACACACCTCAAAATCCACAGGGGATTACATCAAGAGTCGTAAACTGAAGGTTTTGCCATGGCCTTCACAATCTCCTGACCTCAACATAATTGAAAATCTATGGATAGACCTTAAAAGAGCAGTGCGTGACAGACAGCCCAGAAATCTCAAAGAACTGGAAAACTTTTGTAAGGAAGAATGGGCAAAGATACCTCAAACAAGAATTGAAAGACTCTTGGCTGGCTACAAAAAGTGTTTACAAGCTGTGATACTTGCCAAAGGGGGCAGTACAAGATATTAACTCTGCAGGGTGCCCAAACTTTTGGAGACGCCATTTTTTTGTTTTCTGTTATTTTGAAAGTGTAAATGATGGAAATAAAATCTAACTTTTGTTGACATATTATAAAAATGTCTAATCTGTAATTTGATGCATTTTGGAGATTTTTCCATCTTTCCTTGGCTTCTTTATGCACATTAATACAAATTCTTAGCTGGGGTGCCCAAACTTTCGATCCCCACTGTACCTAGGCGTTCACCTCTGTGCTTCCTATGTATCATTATATAAAGGTAATTATCCTCTCTCTGATGTTTAGAAGATCTTCTGTCGGGGTGAGTTATGCATGACCTTTCATAGTTTGAGAAAATACATACGGTCAAAATGACACTCCTGCTTAAAATTCTCTATCTGTTACATTCGCTACCTGTACCCCTTCGTAAAATGGATATTTCACCTCCAAACTGAAACTCTTAAATTTAATTGGGGCACTAAGGGCCATAGGCTGGCTACTCTGTATACCCCTAGAAATAAAGGAGGGCTTGGGGTTCCTGATCTTTGAGCCTACTATATGGCGGCACAACTAATGCAACTATCTATAGTGTATTCCCAACATGCACAACCTGATTGGTTACGTATGGTACGTCATGCTGTACCATGTAACACTATTGACTTTTTAATGTGGCACTCCCCCACACAGACCTCCCATAACGGTGCCTATATTATCCCACTCTTTTGCTCTTTGGGACCATTTACGACACAATCCCACACTAGTATCCGACTTTACCCCTTTGGATCATATATTCCATAATCCAAAATTCCCTCCAGATTTCAACATCAGTGCTTTCTAATGGTGGACTGACAACGGTCTATACCCCATAGGACACTTTTTCACACAGAGGCCCCTTCACCCTCTCCCATTGTACTACAAACTTGGAAATGTCTCCTACTGAATGATTCCGATTTGTCCAGATAAACCATTCTTGAGGACACGTCATACTTCTGCAGATCCTCCCTCCCCAAGAGCTTATGAAAAGTGGTGTACCAAAGACCAGGGCTCTAGGGGAGGTATCACCATGGCATATATGTCTTTGCCTGCTCTCCCCAGATGCATCGATATATCCTGGCATTGGAAAGGGACCTAGACTGTGATTTAGAGCCAGAGGCTTGGTGTTTCAGGCTTCAAAACTCCTACAAGGGCATACTGAATGTTTCCCTAATAGAGTCTGGTGTTAAAGTTGTAACGAGATGGCATTTAGTCCCAAATCACTTGGCCATGTACCCAACAGCATCAGAGGAGTGTTTCAGGGGTCGCTCCTTGCATGTATCCATGCTTAATGTCTGGTGGCAGTGCCCTAGGATACGCTGTGTTTTGAACAGGGTCTTTTCCATGCTCCGCAAGTTAACAGGAGTCACAATTTCACAGCATGCTTATTTTGCACTTCTAAATAATTCCCTGCCAGGATTACCACGCCCCATGTAGCATTTGGTCCACTTTGTCCTGCTGGCGGCCAGGATCACCATTGCGGAGTCATGGAAAAAAACCTCCATATCTATCAACTGTATGAAACAAGATATTCTGGATCATAATCCATTCAAAGGTTGCTAGTGTGATTAATGATAGACAAGCAATGTTTGAACAAACTTGGGAACCATGGGCAACCTTTATGAAGATAACCTTACCTTCCTCCCAAATTTAATTATGTGATATCTTCACCACTTGGGATTCCTAGGTCTCCTTCCCTACTGTTTTCTTTTTCCTTTCTTTTTTTCTGGTCTCCTTTCAGAGACTTTCTCTTTTATATCCTCTTGATCACTTGGAGGGATTTTTTTTTCTTTCATGCATGAATCTTATTGTCAGCCTTTTATACAAACGGTATTTTCTCATGAGAGATCCATGATAATTTGTGATGGGGGACTATTTCTTAAGCCTTTATTTTAGTCTTTACTCCTGGTAACCCTCTGTATGTTCCTGCAACCTGACTGTCAATTGGTATGTTTATTGTTTGTCATATAATGTACCTTAAGGTTGGAGGTTATTACATTCTTATGTTCCTGTTACTCCTTTTTGTGCCTGGCATTGTAACAACCATTTCATGTGGCTGACTGTATGTTACCTTTTTCTCCATCCCTGATATTATGTAAAACCTAATAAACATTTTTAAAAGTAAAAATTACATACCTAAGCTTCAGCTTTAACCTAACATTCCCATGATGAAATGTTATGAGTTTTTGAAGACTTTAAGCATCACACAGTCAACTGAACTTGTTGGGCTGGCCAGTCCTTAAAAATTAGTAGTCATTTGAAATCTATGCCATTTGAAGATTATTTTCCTTACAGTGGAATGTTTGATTTCAAACTAGTTGGTGGCCTTTTTAAATCCCTTTCTACACTCTTAGGCCTTTTTAGCTATTTCTGAATTTTATTGATCATGCCATCATGACACCACATACACTATATTGCCAAAAGTATTGGGACAGCCCTCCAAATCATTGGATTCAGGTGTTTCCAATCACCTCCATGGCCACAGGTGTATAAAATCAAGCACCTAGGCATGCAGACTGCTTCTACAAACATTTGTGAAAGAATGGGTCACTCTCAGGAGTTCAGTGAATTCAAGCGTGGTACTGTGATAGGTTTTCACCTGTGCAATAAGTCCATCCATGAAATTTTCTTGCTACTAAATATTCCACGGTCAACTGTTAGTGGTATTATAATAAGTGGAAGCAACTGAGAACAACAGCAACTCAGCTACAAAGTGGTCGGCCATGTAAAATGACAGAGTGGGGTCAGCACATGCTGAAGATCAGTTTGCAGAAGCCACTAACTGTCTGCACAGTCAATAGCTAAAGACCTCCAAACTTCGTGTGGCCTTCAGATTAGCACAGCAACAGTGTATAGAGAGCTTCATGGAATGGGTTTCCATGGCTGAGCAGCTGCATCCAAGCCTTACATCACCAAGTGCAATGCAAAGCATTGGATGCAGTGGCGTAAAGCAAGCCACCACTGAACTCTAGAGCAGTAGAGACGTGTTCTCTGGAGTGAGCAATCATGCTTCTCTAGCAATCCAATGAACATGTCTGGGTTTGGCGGTTGCCAGGAGAACGGTACTTGCCTGACTACTTTGTGCCAAGTGTAAAATTTGATGGAGGGGGGATTATGCCGTGGGGTTGTTTTTCAGGGGTTGGGCTCCTTGGTACCAGTGAAGGGAACTCTTAAGGTATCCGCATACAAAGACATTTTGGACAATTGCATACTCCCAACTTTGTGGAAACAGTTTGGGGATGGCCCCTTCCTGATCCAAGATGACTGCGCACCAGTGCACAAAGCAAGGTCCAAAAAGACATGGATGAGCGAGTCTGGGTTTGAGGAATTTGACTGGCCTGCACAGGGTCCTGTCCTCAATCTGATAGAACACCTTTGGGATAAATTAGAGTGGAGACTATGAACCAGGCCGCCTCATCCGACATCAGTGGCCGACCTCACCAATGCACTTCTGGGTGCCCTTAAAGTTCATGTGCGTCACAATACTTTTGGCAGTATAGTGTATGTCAATAGCAAAGCGAACACCAGACCCCTAGATATTTGAGGTTTAAATAAGACAGGTTTTACCTACATACTCTCCAAGAAGGTTCTAATCATTGGCTCCTAGCTTGGAACATCCAATTCTAATTTCATTGATTTCAAGTAGTGATAATTGTAGGAATGTAATTATTTTTTCCATATGATAAATCAATTTTTTTTTCCTTTTTAGCTGATGAAAATTAGTATACCATGTCAATAATATCTGTCACTTATTCAAGTATGTCACCTTTATCTGTTGGCACTATTTTTAACAACATTTAATGTTTCCCTGTTCAAATATTAAAAACGTCAACAATTTTCATTAGGTGTTCTTACTTTTTCAAAATGACTGTATAAAAATGTCAGAGACTGTAGGCAATCATAGTGGGTGTCAAAAACTGCTAGTGTTTGAAGACTGGAAACTTCAGAATATCACTGTCAATACAGCTAGTCTATGAATATAACATTGTGCTCCCTACAACCATCTTAATACTTACCGCCACCATATTTAAAATGTGTGAAAATATAAACCAAACCAAGTAACTAGCAAAATGAGTTCTGAGCGCTAGGTAGAGCACCCAGATGGGAAAAAACTAAGCACTGGCTCCTGGGGCCCCACAATAAGCACTGTAGGCCCACATGTGCCTTTGGCCACAGGTTGGGCACCGGGGCTTAGATGAGGCACATTATAAGTAAATTAGGCTCATTTGATTTTACGAAACCAACTACATAAAAAATGCCCTTCCCCGCAAAATGGCTCTTGCAGACCACCATGGAATGTAATATAAAAACACTAGTGACTGATAGAATATAAATGTCTGTTCATTCACCTATATGCCCATGGAGAAATGCTGTTTATATTGACAGGCAGCTGCTGCTTGCCTTCCGCCTGGGCCCTTCCATGGATCCCAGCCGGGCAGGTAATATTCTCCTTCTCGAGTGGCTGCAGTTGCAGCGTGTGGTGGTAGGCACCGAGCATGCCTGCTGCTAGATGCCCATACATCTGCTCCAACACCTCCTCTTGACGTTCAGCGCAGCCTTTAGGTTTTGGCTGTGCTCGTTTAATTGGTCGTGAACCATCTGAGCTGACAATCAATAGAACAAAAACTAGTACCAAAGGCAACTGGGTCAGACACACCTGGAAAAGATATTTATGAATAATGCAAGTTATTAAGTATTCTGTAAAAGATGTCAACAAGTAAAACATTTGTCCTTTATGTGAGCTATACTTGTTATTTTTTACCCTGTAAAATAAACTTTGAACATATGCACTCACCGGTCACTTTATTAGGTACACCTATTCAATTACTTGGTAACACAAATTGCTAATCAATCAATCACATGGCAGCAACGCATTGCATTTAGGCATGTAGACATGGTAAAGACGACTTGCTGAAGTTCAAACCGAGCACCAGAATGGGGAAGAAAGAGCATTTTTAAGTGACTTTGAACGTGGCATGGTTGTTGGTGCAAGGCAGGCTTGTCTGAGTATTTAAAATACTGCTGTTCTACTGGGATTTTCACGCACAACCATCTCTAGGGTTTACAGAGAATGGCCCGAAAAAGAGAAAATATCCATTGAGAGGCAGTTATGTGGACGAAAATGCCTTGTTGATGTCAGAGGAGAATGATTACTGCGACATTCAGATGGTAGGGTCAGAATTTGACATAAACAACATGAATGAATGGATCCATCCTACCTCGTATCAACGGTTCAGGCTGGTGGTGGTGTAATGGTGTGGGTGATATTTTCTTGGCACTAGAAAGGTGTACCTATTAAAGTGGCCAGTAAGTATACAATCTAAGAGTGCCTGCACGCTTACCATACACATATACTGTAGATCAGACTGGGATTGCTCTTTCTCTTTTACAGTGGATGTAGCAATCCCTTTTCAACAGAAATGGGTGGTAGGGTGTCAACTACCCAAGTAATTTGCAAACCACATGTAAGCACCCATGTTGCCTTAAATTACTGCATCCTCCATTCTGGCCTTTTCATATCTGAACAGATATGCTACAAAGACAAGAACAGTACATACAAAGGCAGATTGTCAGAAATGAATATCTAAAACAATGTCTCAACTAGGTTTCCTCCAGAGTTTGCTAGGGGCTCCTTGAGCAATGAGCAATTTCTGCATCTCAGATAACTTCCCACTGACATCATTGATCTTTTTAGCGATGTATAAGGGGGTAATTCTTCCCAATGTCCACAAGTGTAAGGAGCATTCTTCCCACTGAGCATCTCATTAACGTATCATGAGTTGTAGATATAGTAATTAGTGATACACAATGGTTGTGGTTCAGGGCTTGTGCAGACGTGTGGCCAAGGGGGTGGTTAAAGAGGGCCCCCCCCCCCCCCCCCCCCGGTTTGACACATACCTGAATACCCAAAAAGCAAAAACATGCAGATGCTCAGGGCTGTACATGCACCATGGCTTTAATGCTTTGCTTTGTGTCTTTGGCAACAATTAAACTTCCTGTTGCAGTAATGCCATTGGACAAGACCCAGTAAAGTTAATGAGGCCATGTCACAACCCCCCTACAGCCACAGGCAATCCTTATGATTGCAACATAGTGGTTCAGCCTTGTTAGTGTTAAAACTGGCAGTAAGGAGGCAACATATCACCTTGCCTGTCATATCAACATATCACCTGTCAACTCATCCTCCCTGAGAAGCAATCCACCGCAGATCACTTTTAAAAGGGGTGAAAATGTTTATACCAGAAACTAAGGGAAACCGTTTTTTTTTCAAAATGTTTGATCATTTTTTTCCCTTATACAGTGCTTTGAACAAGTATTCATACCCCTTGAAAATTTTCACATTTTGTCATGTTACAACCAAAAACTTAAATGCATTTTATTTATGTGATAGACCAACACAAAATGGCACATAATTGTGAAGTGGAAGGAACATGATAAATGGTTTTCAACATTTTTTACAAATAAATACGTGAAAAGTGTGGCGTGCATTTGTATGCAGCCCCCCTGTGTCAATACTTTGTAGGACCACCTTTCGCTGCAATTACACCTGCAAGTCTTTTTGGGTATGTCTCTACCAGCATTGCATATCTAGAGAGTGACATTTCTGCCCATTCTTCTTTGCAAAATAGCTCAAGCTCTGTCAGACTGGATGGTGAACATCTGTGAACAGCAACTTTCAAGTCTTGCCACAGATTCTCATTTGGATTTAGGTCTTTGACCGGGCCATTCTAATACATGAATATGATTTGATCTAAACCATGCCATTGTAGCTCTGGCTGTATGTTTAGGGGTTTAGGTGAGCCTCCACCCCAGTCTCAAGTCTTTTGCAGTCTCTAATAGGTTTTCTTCTAAGATTGCCCTGTGTTTGGCTCCATCCATCTTCCCATCAACTCTGACCAACTTTCCTGTCCCTGCTGAAGAAAAGCATCCCCACAACATGATGCTGCCACCACCATGTTTCACGGTGGGGATGATGTATTCAGGGTGATGTGCAGTGATAGTTTTCTACCACACATAACGTTTTGCTTTTAGGCCAAAAAGTTAAATTTTGGTCTCATCTGACCAGAGCACCTTCTTCCACGTTTGCAGTGTTCGAGAAGCCATGTGGGGGACACAGCAAACGGGTCTTCTTATGGCTTTCTTTCAACAAGGACTTTCTTCTTGCCACTGTTCCATAAAGGCCAGATTTGTGGAGTGCACAACTAATAGTTGTCCTGTGGGCAGATTCTCCTACCTGAGCTGTGGATCTCTGCAGCTCCTCCAGAGTTACAATGGGCCTCTTGGCTTCTTCTCTGATTAATGCTCTCCTTGCCCAGTCTTTCAGTTTAGGTGGACAGCCATGTCTTGGTAGGTTTGCAGTTGTGCCATACTCTTTCCATTTTCAGATGATGGATTGAACAGTGCTCTGTGAGATGTTCAAAGATTGGGATATTTTTTTGATAACCTAACCCTGCTTTAAACTTCTCCACTTTATCCCTGGCCTGTCTTGCGTGTTCATTGGACGTCATGATGATGTTTGTTTACAAACCTCTGAGGGCTTTACAGAACAGCTGTATTTATACTGAGATTAAATTACACACAGGTGGACTCTATTTACTGATGAGATGACTTCTGAAGGCAATTGGTTCCACTAGATTTTAGTTAGGGATATCAGAGTAAAGGGGGCTGAATACAAATGCACGCAGATATTTTTTATAACGCAATTACTATATACCCAGAAACAAATGAATAATTGAATTCAACTTGTTATAAAAGAAGTTTTTGTATAACAAGTTGAATTCAATTATTCATTTGTTTCTGGGTATATAGTAATTGCGTTTTAAAAAATTATCACTAGTTCGTACACAATATTTACACTATAATAGGAGCAAGACATTCATGGTTTTTTATTTTTTATATACACATTATATGAGGATGTGATTAATGTCAGCTATCCATTTAATATTACATTCTTACTAGTGGCTCACAAGTGTTAACAAATGCACGCAGATATTTATTTGTAAAAAATTTGAAAACCATGTATCATATTCCTTCCACTTCACAATTATGTGCCACTTTGTGTTGGTCTATCACATAAAATCCCAATAAAATACATTTATATGTTTTTGGTTGTGACATGACAAAATGTGGAAAATTTCAAGTGGTATGAATACATTTTCAAGGCACTGTATAGTAAAATTAGAAAAACCCAATGGTTATTAAATGCCACCTAAAAGAAAGCTCTATCTGACTAAAGTTTATCTAAAATTAATTTGGGTACAGTGCTGCATGATTGAGGAAATGTTATTCAAATTATCACAGCACTGAAAAATGACCTGGACAGGAAGGGGGTTAAACATGCCAGTCTTGAAGAAGTTAATATGTGATGTATATTAGGTATTTAAGAACATTTGTGTTCTAAGTATGTGTATTTATATGTATGTGGCTATGTATGCTTGTGGAAAGGGGCAGGTCCTGTACAAGGTTAATTTTTTTAAATTATATTTATTTTGTATTTTATGTGTTTGCTAATTATTTTTAATTGAGTCTTACTGCTGTTACAAATTGGGCTGTATGTGACAATATATAAAAACAGGGAAAGGTACTTTTAAGATCCTAACTCTTCCCAAAGAAACTGCTGGTTGAAGTTAACTGGAGTAGGTGAGGATCATCATATGTCTATGGGTGCGCTAACAAAAAAAAAACCATAATGTAAACAAAAACATAAACAATCTAAGTACCCTTTTTCTTAACCACATACCCTCCTGAGGATTTATCCCCCTGCCTGACAAGGCCATTGTTTGCGTTACGGTGCTGTGTTACTTTAACTGACAATTGCGCAGTCATGCAACACTGCACCCAAATTAAATTTACGTCCTTTTTTTCCCACAAATTGAGCTTTTTTTAGGTGGTATTTGATTGCCTATGCATTTTTCTTTTTTGGTGCTATATAAAAAAAAGGCCGACAATTTTGAGAAAAAAAACAATATTTTGGACTTTTTGCTCTTAAACATGTCCAGTAGAAAAAATCAAATTTTGTCATAAATTTAGGCCAAAATGTATTTTGCTATATGTCTTCGCTAAAAAAAATCCCAATACGTGTAAATTATTTGGTTTACGTGAAAGTTATAGTGTTTACAAATGGCGGTATATATACTGGTATTTTTTTTTTTTTTTTTTTACTAGTAATGGCGGCGATCAGTGACTTATAGCGGGACTGCGGTGGATATTCTGACACGGGGGGGAAATGACTTGGTGTCACTGACATCCCCAGTGACACCAATAGAGTGATCAGTGCTAAAAAAAAAAAAAAAAGCTCTGACACTGTACTAATGGCACTGGGCAGGAAGGGGTTAACATGAGGGGCGATCAAAGGGTTAACTGTGTGCAGGGAGTGTTTTACTAGGGAGCGGTGTCAGTGTGCTTCACTGTAATCACAGTGCTTTGGATGGCTGTGCTGTGTACAAGCTGACAGGGAGAACTGTTAGTAAACAAAACAGTTCTCCTCCCCGTCGGAGATCCTCGGAAATCACCGGGCGCCAGCGAGTAATCACAAGCTAGGACCCGGTGATTGACAGCCATGTCCGCAAATGGTAGTGTGGGAAGTGCGCACATGCCCCCTACCTGGAAATGCAAAATCACGTATATATACGTGATTTTGTGCAACCGTGCCACCCTGTA